AGGGGGGTGGGGGGCCTCGGGCGCCCGCGTCCGAGGGCCACGCGGGTAGAACGGAAACGAGGAACTGCGCGAGGAACGCGAGAAGAGGCGCCGTTGCCCCCCCCCTCCTCCCTCGCCTCCCTGCTATCCTCCTCTCCTTCTCCTCCTCCTCCTCCTCCTCCTCCTCCTCCTGCTGTTCCTGCTCCTCCTCTTCCTCCGTTCCCTCCTCCTCCTCCTCCTCCTCCTCCTCCTCCTCCTCCTCCTCCTCCTCCTCCTCTTCCTCCTCCTCCTACTCTTCTTCTTCCTCCTCCTCCTCCTCCTCCTCCTCCTCCTCCTCCTCCACCTCACCTCCTCCACCTCCTCCCTCCTTCTCCTCCTCCTTCTCCTCCTCCTCCTCCTCCTTCTCCGCCTGCTTTCCTTGACGCGGGGCCAGCGTGTCGAGCCGCTGTGCGCACGCCCGCAGGCAGGCGAACACATGGAAAAAACGATGTTATAAAAAAGCTCCGTGGCTCTGCCAGCGACTCAGCCATGGCCGAGGGGTTGCCCACTTGGGTGCGACTTTTCCCCGACGCCGGACTGGACGCTCACGGAATATTTCCTCCTCCTCCTCCTCCTCCTGCTCCTCTTCCTCCTCCTGCTCCTCTTCCTCCTCTTCCTCCTCCTCCTCTTCCTCCTCCTCCTCTTCCTCTTCCTCCTCCCCGTCCTCCTCCTTCACAATTACTCAATATGAATACTGCTCTCCCTCTTCCCCTGATGACGGTTTGAAAGTGCTCGACCCCCCCCCCCGCGTACTGTTGTTTAACACACAGGTTTCCCCGGAGTTGGGTTTTCGCCTGCATTTGTTCCCAACCATCCTGTGGTGTTGGGTCCTCGTTTTGAAGAGACAGCGCCTCGCGTTCACTCCTCCTCCTCGCCCCTCCTCCCCATCATCATCATCATCATCATCATCATCATCATCATCATCATCATCATCATCATCATCATCATCATCATCACCATCACCATCACCATCACCATCACCATCACCATCACCATCACCATCACCATCGACGTCATCATCATCATCATCATCATCATCATCATCATCATCATCATCATCATCCTCCTCCTCCTCCTCATCCTCATCCTCATCCTCATCATCATCATCATCGCCATCACCGTCATGATCGTCATCATCACCCCTTGCTGTACACCCCTCACACGTTTCGTGGCCCCATAGGGAGCTCAACCGACGGCTCCAGTGGGGGTGCCCGCATGCGTCCGACGCTGCCAGGCGCTTGCGTGCACAACTTCCCATAACTGTCGTTGATGATCCTGCCTGGCAACCTTGCATAAGTGGTTCAACAACTTTTGCAGGCGGGCGATCCCAGCATCGGGCCAATAAACCGAATCGGATAGGCGCGAGCGTCGAATCGGCAAGCATCGGCTGAAAATCAACTGCGCCATCGACTCGACAAGAATCGGCACATCCGAACCAGATCGAATCGGAACCCTGGGAGATCGGTTCGTATCGACCTGGCGGAGTAAATGGGTGTTCATACTACGCGGCACGCGGCTAGCCCACGACCGGAGACCATGCGCCCACACGCGTGTCGCACGAAGGGCAGCGCCATGGGCCCCGCCCCTCGACGACGGCCTCTCACTATCTCTCTCTCTCTCTCCCTCTCTCCCTCCTCCCTCCTCCCTCCTCCCTCCTCCCTCCTCCCTCCTCCTTCCTCCTTCTTCTTCTTCTTCTTCTTCTTCTTCGCGCCCTTTGGGACTCCGCGGTCCGGCCGCGGCGTCCCCCCCCCCCCCACACCGGGGCCACGCCGGCTAGGGGATGTTTTAAACATCGCCGGGGCGGCTGGTGGGCTCACCCGCAGCCGCTCGGCGCCACCCTCCCCATGGCCGGGCGCCAGCGCACGGGCGTCCGACCTCACGTCGGAGCCTGGTGCGCTGGTGTCCCCGGGGGGGTGCTGGAGCGATCTGGCGGCCCTCCTCGAGACGCCGCCAGGATCGCCCGCGGCCCTGCGGCCCCGCCCAGCGGCACGAGCCCAGGGCCATGCACGGCAATGCCCCAGCCCAGCCTCTCCTCCCCCCCCAAGGCACCCCCACCCGCGCGGGGGGGGCGGAGGGACCTTGGCTCCCCCGCGCGCTGCGCCCCCTTGGCGCACGCCCCGAGCCCTCCCGGGCGGGGCCGCCCGGGGGGGGGCGCAGGCCGACGAAGCCGTTGTTAGGACCCCCGCCCCGAGCCTCCCCCGCCGGGGCCCGCCTCCACTGGTCCCAGACCGCCCCCTTTCATGGCCTTGGGCTGGATGCGTTGCCACTGCCTCCTTGCTTGGGGGGGGGAACGATTAGCTTTGGGTCCTTGACACAGCCCCTATCCGCCCGCGACCCCCCCCCCCCCGCCCCCCGCATCTCCCGGGGCCCCCAGGCCAGGCCGGGGCACCACCCCGCCGGGGGGCGCCGGGAGGAGGGAGGGGGGAAGGTCCAGGAGGGCCGCCAAGACACCGTCGCCTCGGCGACTATCCCGGGTCGCGGGCGTGCCCCCTCGTTTCCGGCACGCCCGCGTCTTGACGGCGACGGCACCGACGGCTGCGGCGGCGACGGCCACACCGAGGCGGCGCCCTCCTCCTCCTCCTCCTCCTCCTCCTCCTCTTCCTCCTTCTCCCTCCTCCTCCTCCACTTCCTCCTCCTCCTCCATGAGCAGGCCGTGCCTTTCTGCGGCAAGGCACGAGCCATGGGCGGAGGATTGAGGATCGCATTGCTTGGAGTGCCTCTGGCCCCTCTCTTGGCGGCGAGCGAGGGGGGAAAAGGAAAAGGAGAGGGCGTTCTCGGGAGGTGGCGGGCCTCCTCGGAGGCCGTCGCACCTTCTAAGAAATCTCCTGCGTCTGCGGGAAAGGCTTAGTCTCAGAAGGCGGAGGGACTTCCGAGCCTTCTGAGGAGGCTCGCTCCTTCTCACTTCCCCCCCTCGCTCGCCGCCGACTTCCGGAGGCACCTAGAGGCCTCTAGCGCGATCCGGGTGCTCCCTCTTAGAGGGGCCACGGGGCTGAGCCTGCACAGGGCACGCGGGTGAAAGTAGAGCCTGGACGCATCGGCATCTTCACCCTTCAGAGCTGCAGGCGCAAATGCGAAGGGCCGGAAAGAAAGAGAGAGGAATATATATATATAAGAGAGAGAGCGAACAGGAACATAAATGGAAATCAGGTAGAACAACGAAACATAACGAGCGAGAGGGAGAGACAGAGAGAGAGAAAGGAGAGGTTCGCGCATACATATGTCAAAAGAGGGAAAAAGCGAGAGAGAGAGAGAGAGAGCGAACAAACAACATAACACACACACGCAGAAGGGACTGGAGTGAGGCCTTGAGGAACGGTTAAGGTGAGAGAGACAGAAAGAAAGAAAGACAGAGAGAGAGAGACACGCAGCGAGAGAGAGAGAGAGGGGGAGAGAGAGAGAGAGAAAGTGATATCGACTCAAAGAGCGAGAGAGAGGGATGGCTACATATATATATAGATACACTTAGAGACAGACAAGCATATAGACAAACAGACAGACAACCAGACAGGCAGAGAGAGAGTGAAGGACGCAACCTTTTCGCAAGTTCAAGGGCCTCGGCCGTCCGAGAATGTTGCTTCAAAGGAAGTGAAACCGGGAAAACGGCGGCCCCATCGCTTGACAGTCCCGTACGCATGCCAGCATTACTTGCGCGCGTTACAAGAAAATAGATGAAACAATCATTCAGAGTACGGGCCCCGTGCCTCCGACAACACTTACGGTGACCTTCTCCATCGATTGACCCTGCTCTGATGATCATCGCTGCCCTCACGCAAGTCCGTCGCCCATACGAGATGATCTGTGCCGCGCAAGCCTCGACAGGATGTCCAACAAAAAGCAAACACGCACCACTACTGAGTACCTGCTGGTAGATCACACATCGCCAAGAGAGGCGTCTCTACCGACGCCTGGTTTGTCCTGTCCAGTACTTCCGTCTACTTCGTATCATTCTCTTGCGCCGCCTCTGATGCCTTCTTCTGCTTTTGCAATATCTCCTCCCTCTGCTGCTCCTCCCCCTCCTCCTCATCCCTCTCCTCCTCCTCCTCCTCCTCGCCCTTCTCTTCCAATTTCCCAACGATTCCCCTTCACTTTCTCATGAACTGTTCCTCTCCACACCCTCGTTCTCATCTTTCCCTGCTACTCATTCGTTTTTCATCCCTGATCATCTCTCCTCAGAACCTATGCCATGCCCCCTGCTCACTTGCCCAATTTAGCGTCCGTGATACCACCCGGAAAATGGAGCAAGCCGCTTTCGCAACGCCGTCTGCCACACAAGGGTTCCTCCTCCTCCCCTTCGTTCCGGCTGCCCTTCCGCGATCCGCCTCTCATATGGTAGACCCCCTCCCTCTGTCCTTCCACCTCCCGTTCCACTTCGCCCCCCACTCCGCTACGCTCCACTAGTCACGTCTCTCTCTGTCTCTCACTCTCCCTCTCTCTCTCTCGCTCTCGCTACCTGTCTCTCTCTCTCTCTCTTGTTGTTTCTCTCTATCGCTACATCCTCCCCAACACTTCGCTCCTCTCCCCATTACCCCTCAATCGAGTGCTTCCTCTTACGGCAGCGTGGGCAGAACGCAGGCGACGGACACCACAAGCGACAAACAAGATGCTGGATCGGCAGAGGGCCATCATTGCAATCGCGAGCTCACGATCATGTTCAGCAGTGCGGCGCGCAATCAACCCAAACCAACACTTGCACGCAATCGGGTCCAAGCGCCGTGCGCATGCGCCCGTGTGCTGAACTGCACCTGAATATACATATATATATATATATATATATATATATCAGGCCTCGCTCGTAAGCGTCACTGATGAGCACACCATGTGCTCACATACGATTTGCACCGCCATGCATGAGATACGCATACGATGCCTTCAGTACCCAGGATGACTTCCATGCAGCCGAGAAAACGTGGTCAGTGATACGAGAAGATGAAGAAGACACCGAACAACATCAAGGCACAATCGCCTATGTGTTGCGCCTCTCCCTATCCACAGATCTTCACGTTATCGGCCTCGCGAAATGCTTTTGGACCATACGGCGCATGGGCGGATCAACATAGCACATGTGATATCCTCTCTCGCTGGAGATCAGTGCGGAACGCAAGCAAGCCCCCTCTCTCATTCTCCATCCCTCAGGCGAGAGAATGGAAACACCGCGGGAATGTTCCGGCACCGTGCATGCTGTATAGTGGAACACCTTAATGCTTGTTAGCTGTCACCATGTGTGGGGTAAGCAAGAATCAAAGGCACCCCCCTCGTAGCAGACGTGGCTCGAACGCCACCCCCTAGATTTTCTCTCTGGCGCCCGTATCGCACTCCAGGCGGCTCCATGACGGCGAAAGGCCGCTCCAAGCCGCTGCGAAATATTTCAAGACCAGCCCAAGGCTGACCAACGCCCCCCACCCCAACCCACAGGCTCCGACATGTTCTCATGATGCCTCACGAGGCCTCGACACACCCCGAAGGGACCCCCATATAGGCCTGCAGTAAGGCCCGACGAAGAGGAGAACAACAATGAGTATCAATCATGCTTTGTTTTCGAAGCTAATCGGCCTCAGATCGTCTTGAGAAATACTTAGACACCACCGAGAGGCCCCAACGACGACACCAAGTAGGTCCCAAGACTGCCCGATAACCCTCCAAGATAGCCCAAGACTGCTCCAATAATGCCCCAAGACGGCCCCAAGCCCCGCCCTGACGTTCCCAAGATGGTTCCACCAAGCCTCTTCCGACGAGCTCGGTAGAACCATCGCGCCCAAGACGGCTTTGAGACCGCCGGCGGGCCTCCAACGAACCCCTCAGAGGCTCTTCACAAAGGCACCCACGAGGGTCCCACGAAGGCTCAAATAAGCTCCCAATAAGCCGTAAACGTGAAAACTGAGAGGTTGGAGGAGGAGACAACGGGAGAGAACGATGAGGAAAGCGGAGAGAAAAGCGAGGCTGCGAACAGGGAGAGGAGGCTTGAGACACCTCCCAGATTAGAACGGGCGCTGAACAGGAGCGGGTCTTGCTCTCAACCACCTCCCAGCTGCGCTGCTGCACTGGCAAGGTGGCGCGGCTCGTTTTTTCTGTCGCGTGAGTCTCTGTTTTCACGCGCTTTTCGTTTCGTTCACCCCTGCATTGGAAGGAACCAGACTCGTCCATCTATGTTTGCCGAATTGGTTGAAAGCGCCCGATATCCTTTTGCCTCTCCCTCCGTCCCTCCGTACCTCCCTCACTTCAGCTCGCTCTCCGTGCCTTGGCCTCAGAAGGAACGAGGAGGGGAACTGTTCTACGTCACGGTCCAGGGTGACAGGCCCAGCGTCTGGCAGCAGATGCCTCTCGTGGGGTGCCTCGTGGAGCTGCCGGCGGGCCTGGCTAGGTCTGCAGCGACCCATGGGGGTGTTGCCAGGAGCACTATAGTCAGGCTCCACCGCGCGCCCGTGGAATACAGTCGGCCCCTATCGCAGGGATGCGCGGTAAGGATGCAAAGGCCTTGGAAGGCCATGTCGGCACCTCGCGGGCGGGGGCGCGGCCAGCGAAAGCGGCCAGGGATGGGCCGAGGAGGCAACGGTGCAAGGGGCAGCCTGGAGAAGGTCGCCCATCCTTACTATGCGGGTCGACCGTAGGACACCCGCGCGCGAGCAGAGTCCAGCAACAAAACCGTGCGAGGAGCGAGGGAGCGAGCCGAGCCGATCCCCATCGACCCCGCAGAAGCCCACTCTCACGAGTGCGCGCAGCCCCCCATTCCAAAAGTTGTCGGCCCTCGCCCCTTGCCGGGCGCGGGCCCCAGCACTGAGCAGTAATACTGCATGGAGGCAGGGCGATTCCTTCTTCAAAGCGGAGCTCGGACGTCCCAGACGTTCTTGTCAGCGTAGTCGCTACTCTGAGGCAGGGCGGTTCCTTTCCAAACCAGGGCTGTCGCCGGGCATGTCCATGCATGTCATGGCCTGGCCTTGTCGCATTCCCTACGGCTCGAAGGGTAGAGGCTCAAAAATGGAGCCCAGGCCCGAATTGCGGACCCATGGCGCGGTCGTCTTTCAAGAGAACGCTTCTGGTCGGGAGCTCTTGCTTAGCGTGTCGCGGCGGTGGCCCCAGGGACACGCCATGCCCCGCAAGCGGATAGCGTGTCGCTCCGCTCCGCGACAACTCTGGACGTTGACGCTCGGAAATGAGGGCGCGGCGCAGAAGCGGGGTGCTAGAAGCTAGAATCCGAGGAGCGGCACACTGTCCGAAAGTTCCCGATCGTATGAGATAGGGACTTGGGACGGGAAGGTGCGTTGCAGTACATTAACACATCTTGGGTTAACTCAGGTCCTCCTGCTCCTGCTGTTCCTCCTCCTCCTCCTCCTCCACCTCCTGTTCCTCCTCCTCCTCCGCCTCCTCATCATCATCCTCATCCTCACCCTCATCCTCATCATTATCGTCCCGCACATCCTCATCCTCATCCTCATCCTCATCATCAGTATCATCATCATCATTATCATCATCCACACCCTCACCCTCATTATCATCATCAGCAGCATCATCATTATCATCATCATCAGCAGCAGCAGCAGCATCACCATCATCGACGTAATCGTCATGACCATCATCAACATCATCATCACAATCGTCATCACCGTCACGTTGAACATCACCATCGCCACCGCCATCAACATCACCATTACCATCAGCAGCATCATCACCGTCATCAACATCAACATCATCACCATCATCACCATCAACACCGTCATCATCAGCACCATCACTAGCATCAGCAGCATCAACATAATCAGCAGGTTCACCATCATCATAATCATCGTCACCATCGTTATCACCGTCACCATCATCATCACCATCAACATCATCAGCAGCATCATGATCATGATCATGATCATGATCATGATCATCATCATCATCATCATCATCATCATCACCACCATCATCGTCAACATCATCAGCATCATCATTAGCAACATCGTCATTACCGTCACCCACATCCCCATCCTCATCATCATCAGCAACAACATCAACATCATCATCATCAGCACCATCATCATCATCCGCATCATCATTGAAATCAGCATCCTCAGAAGGTGCAGCATCATCATCACCACCATTATCAGCAGCATAATCATCTTTTTTCATCAGCAGCATCAACAACATAATCAGCATCGTCATCAGCATCAGCATCATCATCATCAGCATCAACCTTCTCATCAACAACGTCATCATCATCAACATCATCATCAGCATCATCATCCGTCCTCCTCTGCAGGAAACGTACCTCCATCACTCCTCCTCAAAGACCCCCGTCCCCGCTCTTCCATCTCACTATCCAATTCGCTCCCTCCCTCCTCCTCCTCCTCCTCCTCCTCTTCCTCCTCCTCCTTCTCCTCATCCTCCTCTTCCTTCTCCTCCTCCTCCACCTCCTCCTCCTCCTCCTCCTCCTCCTCCTCCTCATCATCATCATCATCATCATCATCCCCTCCCCGTCCCCCCCCTTCCTCCTTCTCCCCATTGTCCTCCTCCTCCTCCTCCACCTCCTCCTCTCCCTCGCCTCCCCTCCGCGCCTTCGCGCTCCTCCTCCTCCTCCTCCTCCTCCTCCTCCTCCTCCTCCTCACTCCTCCTCCCCCCTGCTCCCTCCTGCTGCTCCCTCTTGCTCCTCCTCCTCCTCCTCCTCCACCTCCTCCTGCTCTCGGACGGCTGGCGAGACGGGGTGGGGGGAGGGGAAGAAGGAGCGGCGGCACGGGGTCTCGTGAAGCCATGCGAGGCGATGCACCCCCCCACCCGTCCTAGCAGCCGAGGCAACATGCTGGGGCGGGTGGAAACGGGGGACGACCTACATTCGGCGGCGAGAGAGGGGGGGGGAAGTGATGAGGAGAAGGCCTTCTCAGAAGGTTAGGACGTCCCCCTGCTTGCCGAAAAGTTTTCGAAGCCTTCCCCGAAGACAGAAACAACTTCTCAGAAGGCGCGAGGGCTTCTGAGAAGTCCCACAGCTTTCTGAGAAGGCCCTCTCCTTCTCATTGCCCCCCCTCGCTCGCCGCCGACACGTGGGGGGTGAAGAAAAGGGCCCTGCAGAGGTCTTTTAGAAAGAGAACCGCTTTTGGAGCCAGCATCGGCCCAGAAGGAGCCTTAAAGGGCCCCTCGACGGCCCTTTCGTTCACCCATGCGCAGGCCACCCCCCATTAGCACCCGCCCGGAACGCGCGCGCGAACCAGAGCTCTGGCGTCACCGCGCATCACGACGGCCGCTCGGCGAGCCACGGCCTTGACCTCTGGAGAGGCTCCCCCTGCGGGCCCCGGGGAGACCTGCGGGAACAGCCCGGGACGAAGCCCGAAGTGATGGGGTTCGGGCGCGAATTCATGCGGTAGCGATCACTGGGGCTCGGGCGCGGGAGCGGCCATGGGGTTCGGGCGCGAACGAATGGGGGACCGATCAATGGGGTGGAGAAAGGTGCCCATCTCGGGCCCTGTAAAGGCCCCCTTCTGGGTCCTAAAGGGCTCCTGAAGGGGCCCTCAAGGGCCCCATTTCTGCGTCTCTCGCTGTCCCCCCAGTTTTCGCCCCCCCATTACGCGTGCCCCAAAGGGTGGAGTCAAAAGGTTCGGAAGCCCACGACACGACGTCGGACTTCGGGGGTCTCTCGCTGGAGCCACCGTTGCTCCTGGTGACCTGCCCTCGCACTCAGGGGCTTTGTGGCCACTGACGTTCGCCTGGCCATGCACTCCTGCTTACCCGATAGATCTCCCAAGCGCACGGCATGCCCATTCCAGTCCAGACCCGTCCAGTTCTCGCACTCTTGCCAAAACAAGACAAGAAAGGGTCGACCCTGACAGTCTTGACGGAGCCGTCCTCGAGCCGGATCTCGTACCGCCCCCTGCATGGAAAGTGAAGCATATGGAGAGGTAGACAGGCTCATGTGTTGATGGTGAGCAGCACGAAGACGGATCACAACGGTAGTATAAACACGACGTGCTATCCACCAGAGCACCTGAACAAAGATAAAATGTTTATTCCTGCATTTGGCGCATGTAATGGACGCAGCACCCCTCCAGCAAATAGGTAGAAATAACACTTGGAAGGGCTCAGGCCCTCCATGGGCAAGTTTCGCGGGGACTGGCCTCATCCTCTTGCTCGGAGCCTCGATCAGCCAAGATCTTCCAGAAATTCCCAACATGCACTACGGCAATGTGCTGCATGCCCACGACTCTTCTCTTGAAGGCCCAGAGTAGGTCGACTGATGGTATGCCTCCTCGTCGTCCCGCTCCTGCTTCCTCCCCCTCCTCCTCCTCCTCCTCCTCCACCTCCTCCTCCTCCTCCTCCTCCTCCTCCTCCTCCTCCTCCTCCCCCATCCTTTTCCCTTACAAACAACTCCTCCCTGTCGCAGTCCCGGACGTGTCGGTAGGACTGGCCGGGCGTTTCACCTGAGACTCTCTCAACATGTTTGATCCCGGAATTCGACGAACTCAACAGTTTCACGGATGGAGTGCGGATCGTTTGCAACATGTGGCTCTCGCAGTAGCGAGGCGCACATTCGTCTTAAAAGTTTGCAGCGGCTTCACGGATGGAGGGCGGATCGTTTTCAAAATGTGGCTGTCGCCTTAGCGCCGCGCACGCTCGTTTTACACATTCGCAACGGTTTCAATGATGAAGGGCGATTAATTTTCAACCTGTGGCTTTTACATAAGCGCCGCGCACATCCGTCTTAAACATGCGGCAGGTTCCAAGCTTCGTATGATCGAAGTCCCAGAACGTGTGTTCTAGCAAGACTCAAAGGCGTCAGGACGGAACAGCTATGTTAATTCGAAGGTGTTGATGTCTCAGGATGGTGTTTTGGCACGGATGATGATTATCAGGCGGTTGTCTTCTAATGAGCCACTTCCCGAAATGAAAAACAATTCTTTGTAGAGACCTGCGAAGAGGGAACATGGAGGGAGAGCTCAGTGCAACATCGTTGATGCGTCTCGCGATTACACTGGTCCCCGTCCTCGTCCTTCCTTTCCTTCTATCCTCCTCCTCCTCCTCCTCCTCCTCCTCCTCCTCCTCCCTTCTCCTCTTCCCTCCTACCCCCCCCTCCTCCGCCAGCTACCTCTGCGCATCCCCCCACCCCTCCTCCTCCTACTCCCCCTCCTCCTCCTCCTCCTCCCCCTCCTCCCCCCTTCCCTCCTCGTCCTCCTCCTCCTCCTCCTCCTCCTCCTCCTCCTACTCCCACTCCCCCTCCTCCTCCTCCTCCTCCTCCTCCTCCTCCTCCTCCTCCTCCTCCTCCCCCCCCCTTCCCTCCTCGTCCTCCTCCTCCTCCTCCTCCTCCTCCTCCTCCTCCTCCTCGCCGCCGCTTCCGGAGTAAACTGGCGATGCGGATGCATCAGATACACAGTCCGCTTGGGGGAGAGCACGGCTACGGTACACTTGCTGCGTCGCTGGCCCGCGTCAATCAATGTTGTGCGTGCCGGGCCATCCATTCATCCGTCAAAATTACGAGACATCATCTGCGAAGGAGCTTGCAACGAGGATTCTGCGACGTTCGATGGGAGAGAGGGAATGCAATCTGTCATGAGATCATTGTTCCTCCTCCTTGCTCTTGCCGTATCTGCGACGTTGAGTTCGAGTCTGCCACTCCGCTGCTGTGGCATCTGGCTTCTCACTTACCGGACACATTTCAAATCGACTTGGGCGCAGTCCCCGAAGAGTAGCATGGCTGACGCGGCATGGGCGTCCTTCTTGGGCGGAGGTGCCGCCGAACCCCCGCGGAAGAGGCGGGGCGGCGGCAGCGCCGAAGACGGGGACAAGATCAAGGAGCTCTTGTCCATCCTCGTGAAGCTGTGCCTCCAGACGAAGCAAGAGGTACGCATGCTCATGGCAGTCGTGTTCATCTGCTTCCAGGTTGCAACGGACAGCACGGCAGCGCAGGGAGTCCGGGAGACGTACAAGATCCACGCCGACCGCACGAAGGGCAAGAGTGGCCATGACGAGGGCGGCCCAGACCCATGGGCATTCATAGCGCTGCTGATTGAGGCCAGCACGTCAGAGCACATTGAAGAAGGAGACCTTGCGAAGATCCGGACTTTCCTCGCGGCTCACCCGCCGCCCAGTGACCCCAGAGGCGGGCCGGCAAGCGACGAGCTCCAGGAGGCCGTTCCATGTTGCAAGTTGCAGAAGATGTGCAATTCCAACCAGGTGAAGCTCTTCATTCGTGTGCACCCGAAATACGTTCAGCTAGAGAATATTGTGATCAAGCACCTCGGGGGCATGAAATGCAAGCAGTACTTCGGCCAGGCCCCCCGGGGAGCCCTGGAGAGGAAGGCCCAGGACCTCTTCAAGGACCTCAACCTCGATCTGGGAGAGGACGAGTAGGCGTGAGATGCGCCCGGTGCTTCGGCTGAGCCCGCCGCTCCCCTTGGCGTGCTTAGCCGGACACGCTCGGTCGGGGCCGCTCCCCTAGGCCTGGGGCCAAAGCCTTCAGAAGAAGTTCGGGCAACGACCCGATCGCTCTGCCAGATTCCGGGTTGTACGGAGTCCATGCGCAGTTCCGCCGCCGCCGCCGCCTCCTCCTCCTCTTCCTCCTCCTCCAATTCCCGAGTGCCCGAGTGCGGGTGCACGTCCTCGACGTTTGCCCACCAGGACGGGAAGCGGGGACGGGGAAGAAGGGGAAGGCAGATGCGGGCGAGGGAAGGGCAGAGAGGAGGAAGAGGAGGATGAGGAGGACGCAGAGAGGAGAGAGGAGAGATCGGCGAGCAGAGAGGAGGATGAGGATGAGGAGGAGGAGGAGGAGGAGGAGGAGGAGGAGGAGGGGGAGGAGGAAGAGGAGGAGGAGGAGGGAGAGGAGGAGGAGGAGGAGGAGGAAGAGGACGACAAGGAAGAGGGATCGGACGAAGGAGGGAGGCGGAGGAGAGGAAGAAGGAAGAGAAGGATGGGGAGGACGAGGGGGAGGCGGATAAAGAGGGCAGCAAGGAGCAGGAGGAAAGAGGAGGAGGAGGCGAAGGAGGAGGACATGAAGGAAGACGAGGGGGGAGGAAAATGGTCTCGGGTGTACCCTTGGGGCCGAAACCTGCAAAGGGAACAAAGCCCAATGGATGAGAAAGCACCGTCCCGTGACCTGACGCGGGAATGCGACTGTTTCCTTCTGCCCCCTGCCCCTGAATTATGGGGCGGCTCCATCCGTCCCCTGAATATTCGGGCAGTCTCGCCTGAGTCCGTGACATGTCGCCCATTGCCCCTAATTCCGCCGTCCGCTGGGTGGCCGGACGGGGATTGCATGGATCGATCGTCGCGGCCATGCCGTCTTGTGGTCAAAATGAAGGAACCCCGGAGGAGGGAGAGACCTCCGCAGACACTCCAAAGGGAGTGCCGAGAGGGACCTGCGAGGGCGCCGAGATGGCTGCGAGAGGACTCCGCGAGGGCTCTGTGTCCCTCAGGGCCATGCGTTGGCGGAGGCTGTCAAGAGCACTCTGAAAGCACTCCAGGAAGATGTGAACAAGCCTGACGAGGCCACTCTCAGGCGCGGCTCTCATCGCGAGCTGCCTCTCAGCGTACCATCTCCCCTCTTGCTCCCCGTCTACACGCAAGTCCACACACACACACACACACCGAACTACTAATCCACTAGCCCCCTTGAGGGCGCAAGGCTGAGGGTTCTTCTGCTGGACTGCTGTCTTCTGCTCTTTGTGCTGTCTTCTGTTCCTGTGGAGTTGGGCTTTCGTTCTTAACCCTGAGCGCCGCGCGGCTGTTCCTCGTCCTCCTTTCTCTGCCCTTCGCAGTTCCCTCAGGAAGCTCCACCTAAGGATCCAACGGGAAAAGTTGCATGGCGTATGCGAGCCCGTTTCGGCACAACGTCTCACGCCACTCGTACATTTCTGGAGAGCCCCTGTTGGAAAGGTTGTACAGCGTACGCGGGCCCATTTCGGCACACCCCATCACATGGGTCGTGCCCATTTGGGTGCTCGACCTACTGCCACAGTAGGAAAGCCTGCATGGCGTACTCGGGACAATTTCGGCATACCTCTCAAACGTGTCGTGCCCCTCATGAGGCTTCACCTACGGCCCCATTGGGAAAATTTGCATGCGCCCCCTCATCGGAACATTCCTCGCACGGATCGTGCATCGAAAGGCTCATCACCAACGCTCCATGAGGCTGCTACGGGTTAGGGCCCTCGACAGGCTAATAGTCTGCTTCTTGTCTCTCCGGTCATGTATCCCTTCTACTGTCCACCGAGGGGGTGGGGGGACGCGAACCACCAAACAAAAACACCTGGGTGGGGTGTGCCTCAAATTCCTGGCCACGCTAAAACTGCCACTGGACTCTCGGAGGAACGCCGCCGCATGGCCAGGAGGGCCCAAGAGGCCTCGAAGACGGCCCCAGGAGGCTCCGAACAAGGAGGCTCCGAACAGGGCCTCAAACGCCCAACGCAGCAGAGGACGCCCTCACCATGCCTCTGAGATTGCACAGGAGGGCCCCGAGACGCCCCCGACTGGGCAACCAGCCCTGCAAAGCAACATAGAAGAAGAGAAAAACGCCATAAACGTAAACTGTTGGCGCTCCGCGCGGATTTCTTGGATCTGCGCTGGACGCGCGCGGAGCGCGCCAGGGGCGGCGCCAGGAGGCGCCGCCAGGGGGGGCCAGCGCAGATTCAAGAAATCCGCGCGGAGCGCCAACAGTTTTCGTTTAGGGCTCTTTTTCTTCTTCGATATCAGCGCATTCGATCTTGCTTCTTGCCTGTCCCATGTTCCGACCCCAAGATAGCCAAGCATCGCTCTAAGACGGCCCCCAGAACCCCGAGGCAGCCCGAGACGGCCCCAAGAGGTGGCCCCCCAGAGGCCCCACCCGGTACCACCCAGACCGCCCGGGGCGGCCCAGCGCAGCCCCAAAAGGTGCCCTCAAGAGATGGGCACAAGAGGAGGAGGAGGAGGAGGAGGAGGAGGAGGAGGAGGAGAAAATGGGATGCACAGAGTCATACTGGTACTATATGTCCTCCTTGGAGGCGAGCGTCCGACCCGAACATATGGTATACCCATCTTGTAGTACATCGTTTCCCGAGTGGTGTGACCAGAAAGCGCCCGCCACGACGCATATACTATAAGATTTATCAGTGCGCGCGTCGCCCCAGGGAGGGCGACGCACACATAGGACTAGTATGCTGGGGTGCCGCCGAGAAAAGAAAGAGGAGGAGGAGGAGGAGGAGGAGGAGGAGGAGGAGGCAGAAAGAATCCCCGAGGTGCCCCCGGCGGGCCCCCACGATGCCCCCCCCCAAGCTGACCCGATGCAGCCACCGCACAGCGGCGCGGCCCAGCCTCGGGGCGCCGGCGGTCGGCACGGCGCAGCCCTGCCGACGCGAGCCACTGCGACCGATCACTCGACCGAGCGGCTCGCCGCGTGCGATGGGCCGATCTTCCACCGCCGCTGCCGTAGGCAGGGGAGTCGGCAGCGCGCCCCGGGGGGGGAAGTGAGAAGGGGCGGGCCTTCTCAGAAGGCTCGGAAGTTCCCCAGCTTTCCGAGAAGTGTTCTAAGCCTTCTCCGAAGACGCAGAAAACTTTTCGGAAGGCGCGAGTGCTTCTGAGGAGCCCCGCCGCCTTCCGAGAGGGCCTTCTCCCTCTCACTGCCCCCCCTGGCTCGCCGCCGGGAGATGGAGGAGGAGGAGGAGGAGGAGGAGGAGGAGGAGGAGGAGGACCTCCCCGTCCTTCCTTTTCCCCGTCCTACCCATGGTAGCGGTGGTGGAAGATTGGCCCACCACCGTGGGCAATCCTGGTGCGGTCCACCGACTTGACGATGGCGGTCATCCCGTTGAACTCCGCGGCCTCACCCGCGCGCTGGCGATCTCTTCTCTCGGTTGCGGGAGGAGGCGGGAGCGCCACCGCGAAGCTTCGCCCGACTCGGCCTCGACGCCTCGACCGCTGTGCGAATCAACAGGTCGCCAGGCGCTGGCGATCTCCGCCCCAAACGCCATGGATGTGCTCAGAGCTCCCGTGCCACCTCAGAATTTGGCAGCACGGGCCATGCCGCGTGCCGCCGAAATTGTCGCTCGACCGAAATAACCGCCCTCGAGTGTTGAATTTCAGGCAGACGTTGCGTTTGTAACTGATTCCTCTGTGTTCTCGAATGACGGGGGCTACCGTCAAACAAACACATCTTGCCGTCTGGTATGAAGTAACCAGAGCCGTCGCCGATGTCTTCGCATTGCACTATCCGCTTGCCATTCAGGTATGCTAAGATGTTGGTGGTGGTAATCCTTCGGCCACCCAGGAAGCCCAATTATCACCACCATCACCGAGATGGGGATCCGTGCCCTTCGGTGGTGGCAGACTGCCGGTGCTGGTGTTGGTGCCAACCTCCGGGCCTCCGAAAATGCGTGACGAAACGAAACAGGTCTTACGAAAGATGGCATAGCGACCTTACGCCGCGGCACACGCGGGCCGCCATCGTGGTACACTGCGTGGAGAAGAGGGCGCTCACGCGCGACTTTCTGCGGGAAGCTTGCGCACGAATGTCCGCGCAGTTGAACCCGTTTTTCTTCGTCGCTCAAGTGCGCTTGGACATTGTTCCAACGCGTTATGCCATACCCTCCCTGCTCCGCCTCTTCAAAGCATGCTGGAAAGTTTCTGTAGGGAGCCCACACAGGAAGTACGCGCCCACCCATATGAACATGCCACCCCAGTCCGCAAGACAAGCCGCGTGATACGAATGTTCGCGCAAGGCGTATGGCGGATCACGTCAACAGAGGATCGGTGCATGCAGGAGCTCCCAACTAAGGGTTGGTTTAATCCGCCCTCCTCCCTCACAGTCAGCAGCACGACTGGCTTCCTTAGCGAAGCGCGATCCACCCCTCCACCTCCTCGAACAATGGCCGGATCTGGAAACCCTGAATCCAAACATGTGACCGTTTTCTTCTTCGCCGTTTCGGCATTGGGCAGAAAGGGAAGGAGTGGTGGGGGAGAGGGGGGTTCTGGCTTCCGACCTCTGCTTAGTGCGACTGCTTGCAACAGTGCGTCCGATTGGGGAGACTCCACCTGCTTGAAACAGGCGCCGAAACAGCCAAAATCTACTCCATGGGGGGGAGGGGGGCGCCATTGCCCGCGCCGAGCGGCAAAACAATGAATAAGAAGACGATTACCATGTCGACGTCTCACTGCGGGCCTTCCCGCCCCACCGTGCCAACCCCCGTGACAAAGAAAAAGGTATGGTGGTCCGAGGATCGAGAGTTGTAAAGGGGCCCAGGGACACACACAAAGAAATAGTCACCAATCCCAGTCCCAGGATCCCCCGTATGTTAATAGGTTTTCTAGGTTTTCGTCTTCCCGCACCCTTCCAATATTTTTCCATATTTTCCTGGGAGTAGATGATTCGTTGCGTCTGCGTGTTGTTTCTTCCCTCCTGAAGTTGGGAGATCGGTGGTGCTTCTTGGGCCTGCTGGAGCGTCCTCTTCGCCGCGGCTGCTCTGCTCAGAACGCGCATCTTGCGAGGCCTGGGGGTCGATTCATCAGGGGCTGGCAGGAGGAGGGGACGACGATGGCGGAGGGGTAAAGAAGGAGGAATCAGGTGGACAGAAGAAGAAAAAACGCCACGAACATCAAACTTTAGGCGCTCCGCGCGGATTTCTTGGATCTGCGCCGGACCCTCTCCCTGGCGCGCGGAGCGCGCCAGGGGCGGCGCCGGAGGCGCCGCCGGGGGGGCCCAGCGTAGATCCAAGATCTCAACGCGGAGCGCCAGAAGTTTCTGTTTATGGCGTTTTTTCCTTCTTCGAGTGGAGGCGGGAGAGGAGGCGCAGGAGAGGAGGGGATCAGGAGGAGGGGAGGGAGGATACGGGGAGGGAGACCAGGTGGCCTCGAGCTCATGCGAGCCCTCTCTAGAGGGAGGCTGCCTCGCGAGGAGGGTTTATAACCTGGCTTGGGCTCGGGCGAGGGGCGCGCTCACGCTTCCAATCGGCGGTTTGCGCCCCAGAGCGGTCCAGACAGAGAGCAGAGGGCAAGGGAAGGCAGGGCAGGGCGGAGGAGGCGGAGGAGTGACCGCAGCTGAGGTGGGGGACGGGGGAGGCTGCAGGAGGAAGGAGGAGAGCATATGCAAGACCACACTGGGCGACGGCGCATGCGCACCACGTGCGCCCACGGGGCAGCCAAGCGAGGAGGAGGAGGCGGAACGCAGCCCGAGCCTACGTACCTCGGCATATCTAAACTATGGCAGGAAGATCGTGGCAAATGTGCCGTGCCGAGACCGCACAGTCCGGCTAGCCTCGCGTAGACTATTGCTTCCGATACGCCGGAGAAAGAACAAGGTGAGAGAAGAGAACGTGAACCGACCCTCCTCCTCCTCCTTCTCCCACTCCTCTGCCTTGCAATCCTCATTCGGTTACACGGGAGCAGCCCTAGGAAAGAATGGCCTTTGGCCACGCGGCTTGCCGATCTGTTCCATGTACAATAGAGGCCAGTCCACAAGAAACCTTCCGCAAGAAACCCAACCCTGGAACCCCAGGACGTCCATTGATTTTTGCTGTGGGAACGTCGCTCTCTCCATCGCAAAACCATCGAAACCCAAGAAACCCAGGGCACCCTGGAGGCAAGCAGGGTGTTTCTTGGCATGGGTCTTCACTGTAGTCCCCACCCCTTCTCCTCCACCCTCGCGCCCGCCGAACGCCGCGCACCGAAGGTACCTCTTAGGACGGGTCACGCTTACGTGTAGCTGAGCCTTCTCCCGCTCCTCTTCCTTCCGCTCCTCATCCAGAGCGGCGATAGCTCGATCTACATCTGTATCTGTCGGAGGTTGGGGGGTGAGATCGAAGTGGAACGGAGAGCCCCCCTACCGGGAAATCGATTTCGGTTTCGTGTTCGTGCGTGCCGTGCGGGCGAGGCGAAGCTGCGTGGGCGGGCGAGAGGAAAGTCTCCTGTGGCTGAGGCGCGGCCGGACCAAATGATTCTCCGCCGGGCGGCCGGTGGCGCGCGGTGTCCCGCCGGTGTCCCGCCGGTGTCCCGTCGGTGTCCCGTCGGTGTCCCGATGATGATGTTGATGATGATTATGATGATGATGGTAATGATGATGATTTAGAAGCGATTTAGTCAGTGGCGACAAGAGGGGCTTCAGCAGGCCTCCGACAAAAAAATCTCCACTGGCATCGTCAGGAGAACAATCACCACTGTTGCCCATTGCTCGGCCCCTCCACCCCCCCCAACCTCCTTATCACCCGAAGGGTGGTCGTATAGGTATATATTTATACATATAACAGATCCACTGCTGTCTGGCCAGGCCCAACCTGAACCCAGCAGCAGTGTACACGCCACCTCCTCCTGGCTTGGCCGGGCGGGCGTCAACAAAACTCCTGGATAGGTCTCGTAGCCCGTCATCGTTACTGCTATCATTTTCATGGTGCACAGTAAAGCACAAGGATTCGCGCCCGTTCCCCGCTTCGTGGTCGTCCCATCCTCCCCGATCCAGGAGGAGGGGGGGAGAAGGAGCGCGACGTGCAGCGAGGAGCTACACACAAGAATGACCACGGGCAATAATGACCTCTGGTGAACTCTGGTGCGCAGCATTAGGAGTTGCCGGCGCGCAGAGGGGGTAGGGGGAGGGAGAAGGCTCCCTAGAAAGAGGTTGCTTCTGAGAAGGCACCGGCCCGTACATCTCTAGACAAGGACCGCGCCTTCTAAGAAGCAGGGTGCTTCTAAGAAGCCTTCCCCCCTCCCCCTACTTCCCTCTGCGCGCGGCCGAAGTGGTCCATGTAGGGGCCAATTCCAAGTGCTTGGAGGAGCCCTGTGGGCCCGCAAGGCAAGTCGCTCTCGGTGGTTCAAAGATGGGGCCCTGAAGGATGGGGACCTAAGGGCAGGAAGGAGACCAAGGGATAAATTACGTTGCTTCAGATTCCTCGCCCTTACGACCTCATCCCTTAGGACCCCATCTTTGAACAACCGACGCTCCTGGGAAGGTGCCCACTCTTGCGCGCAGCCGAGGCTAAACAAAAGCGGGGCCGGGCCTCCCCCCGTGCGACACAGACACACACACAGACACTCACACACCCACACCCACACCCACACTCGGGGGAGCCTGCCGGCTTCGAAGGGGGCGCAGCGGGAGAATGGCTGAGGGACAAATGACGCCAGAATGACTGGGCACCAGCAGCGTCCACACAACTTCGCCCTGACGCCTGAAACAGCAGGATGGTCAGCGTGGACCCTAAACAGTGAGTCATTGCACCGTGGATGTGCAATCGGCGTGGTGCAAGCTACGTGGTGTAAGCTATGTGGTGAAAACTGCGTGGTGCAAGCTGTGTGGTGAAAGCTATGTGGTGCAAGCTATGTGGTACCACGCGGCGTCATCTATGTGGTGAAAGCTTTGTTGTGCAAGCTAGGCGGTGCAAGCTATATGTTGTAAGCTATGTGGTGCACGCTATGAGGCGCAACCTGCGTGGTTTGGGCTGTGTGGTATACGCTGCGTGGGGCATGCTGTGTGGTGCAAGCAATGTGATGGAAACGGTGTGGCGCATTCAAGCTATGCGGTGCAAGCTACGTAGTGCACGGGTGTAAGCAATGCAGGATGGGTGCGAAGTGTGCGGTACAAGAGATGTGGCGCAAGCCATGGTGTGCACCATGTATTATGAATGTGGCGTGTGCTGGGAGGTGTCCGCTGTGTGGTGCAAGCTATGTGGTGTAGACTATGTGGCGCAAGCTGTGTGATAACACATGGGATGTTGTGCAAGCTGCGAGGTTGCCACGTGCACGAGGCGCCCACGAGGCGCCCGCGGAAAGGCACCGGGCGAAACCTCGGCTGACCCACCCAGCGCACGAGGCGCCCACGAGGCGCCCACGAGGCTGCCCACGGGCGGGCATAGTGCAAAACCTCGGCTGACCCACCCAGCACAGGAGGCGCCCACGAGGCGCCTACGGGCGGGCGCCAGTGAAACACGCGGCCCGCAAGCGAGGCAAGTGAAGGCCCCTGCTTCGGTGCATGCACTGTCTGGGGAACCAAGGTGCGGACAACGTGCACGCCTGCAGGTGGACGGCGCCAGCATGGACTCAGCGAGGAGGCTCACCTGAGCGAAAAATCAAGTTTGCCTTCCTGGATGGCATTCCCGAGGCGACGAGCTATGGCCCCGTTCCCCATCTCCCTCATGAAGCGCTCCTCGTCCCTCGCACTCTTCTCCAGCCTCTCCTTGTCGAGGCCTGGGTACGTGAACACAGAGTTGAGGTAGTCGCCTGGCGTATTCAGAAGAAGGAAAACATCGCAAACATAAACTTTCAACGGTCCGCGCGGATTTCTTGGATCTGCGCTGGACCCCCCTCCCTGGCGCGCGGAGCGCACCAGGGGCGGCGCCGGGAGGCGCCGCCGGGGGGGGGCCCAGCGCGGATCCAAGAAATCCGCGCGGAGCGCCAAAAAATTATGCTTATGGCGTTTTCTCTTCTCCGGGTATTGACAAGAGGATCCAGCACATTCTTCTTGATCAGCGCCTCGGCCTGCGCCTCCAGGCCGCCGAACCCAGGGCGGCCCAGCCCGCCAGACGTGTCGTCCGAGCCGCACGCCGCAGCACACTCCTCTCCGCAAGCTCGCCGCATCGCCGTGTTGGGCTCCTTCGCACACTCCTGGCTGCAAACAGCTTCGCACGACTCGTCCGCCAGGGCACGAGGCCTTCCGGCAGTGCCGGCGGCCGCGCCCACCAGCACGGACAGGGCAGACCTGGAGGGCGACGGACAACGCAGTCACGGGTTGCTGTCCCTTCCTCAACGGCGACCCTGCCTCTCAACGGAAACGACCCCTACTCAAAGTCCGACGGAAACTCGCACTCGCACTCGCCCTCCGACACGGCCTGGGCCGGACTCGGGCCCAGGCTCAGACAAGAATTCGCGTTCCCTTGTCCCCCCCATTGCGCATGTTTCTCTGGCTCTCTGCCCCCTCTGCCCTCTCTCACTCGCCTCTGTGCCCCTCCTCCCTGTCCCCCCCCCCACACCCCCGCGTCCATCCCATCCCATCCCTCTTCCGTCCCCCCCCCCCTCCCTCTCCTCCTCCTCCTCCTCCTCCTCCTCCTCCTTCTGATTCCATGCATCCGCCCCCCAACTCGCTCCTGCTCTTCCAGCCCAGGCCCCCCTCCTCCTGGAATCCCCCAAACACTCGCCAGAAACAGCAACACACACATACACACATACACACATGCACATACACATACACGCAAACACACACACAAGCATACACACACACACGCACGCACACACACACACATACAAACACACACACACACACACACACACACTCACACACACACACACACTCACACACACACACCACAAAACCCTTACCGTGGTCTTTGTCTTTCCTCTCCCCCTTGCCCCTTCCTCCCTCCTCCTCCTCATCCTTCCTCCTCCTCCTCCTCGTTTTCCTCATTGTCCTGCTCCTCGTCCTCGTCCTCGTCCTCTATCCATTCTTCTCCCCTCCCCTCCCCTGTCCTGTCGTCGGTGGCCTATCTGCCCCGCGGGGTTCCGGCACACGGTTCGGGGTTGGTGCCACCCCCGCCCTGGGCACGCCCAAAGCCTCCCCCCGAGGGCCCTCCTCCCAGGGCGTCACCTGGGGGCCTCTTCTGGGGGCCTCCTGCAGGATCCTCCTCCTTCTCCTCCTCTGCCTCCTCCGCCCCCTTCTTCTCCTCCTCTTCCTCCTCCGCCACCCTCCCTCCCTCCCTCCCTCCCTCCCTCAAGCCACGAGGGGCCCCAACCTTGAGCCTCTCGCTCCTGTGGTCATGCCCGCATCATGCCGGCTCCGGCTTGAGGACGGCGCTGGAGCAAGTGGCTCTGGTCCTGAAGTGCCGCAGCACAGGGTACACAGGCATGGCTTGCAGTGTTGGCACGATGGCCGAGAACGCAGAATGTGCTGCCACTGGTGCTGGTCAAGTACAGCTGGCAGATTTCGGCAACCCTGAACCCAAAAACGTTTTCATCTCATGGACGCGTCTCTGTTCTACTTCCGCCGCCTTCCGCCGAGCTCCCGCCGGCTTCCGCTGGCCTTCGCGCCGGCGGAGGCGGCCTCGTTCTACGTCCGCCGCCCTTCCGCCGCCCCTCCGCCGCCTCCCGCGGCGGAGGAGATGACAGCTCCTTCGATCCTCGAAGGCGAGGCCTTTCCTGGAACGCCTCAGCTGGCTGCAGGTCGCGCTCCACAGCCACACGTGCACCGACGAGCTCGTGAGCGCCGGCGAGCTGCCACCGGCGAGCTGCAGGCAGGCAGGTGGGCACGGGCGAACCGCGCCAGGAAGCCAGGGATGTCACGACCGGGGAAGGCCGTGCACCGGGCTACGCAGCATGCTTCGACGTCGGCTCCGACGAGGGCGACCCATCGCTGGCCCAGAGCCCCTCGCGCTGTGCACAAGTCACGACGGGAGGTTTTCCGCTACTTTCGGCCTCGGGGGGCCCGCACCGGGCCCCGGGACCGTCAAGAAACGGCTGCGGATGAACAACCGGTCATGGGGAAGGGGTCCAGACCTCTGGAGGTCGCGGTTGTGAACAAAAATCACGACGTTGTTGTGGGTCTGGGGGGTCAGCAGAAGGATCCCGATCTTGAAATGAACACGGACCCTGACAAGGCCAATGAGGTATGAAGGAGACATCGAAGCTCCAGCACTTGCCTGGCCAGATCTGCAATACGCAGATCCATGGCGCGATGCAATCGCTGGGATACCAGAAGGAACATGAGTTCAACTCGTTCTTGAGCCTTGACAAGGCCAGCAGCGTGAAGGAGATGCCACTCCAGCACGTAACAGGCCGGACCCAGGACGCAGGCATCATCTACAAAGCGATGGAGCTCAGGAAGGATCTTGATCAGATCTATCCCTTGGCGCAGCTGGACGACGTCAAGCTCCAGGTCTTTCAGCTTGTGAAGACAATAGACGATCACGACGTGGCCTACGAAGGGGTGAAGGATTCCGTGCAGACGCCGCAGCATGAGACGGAGAAGCAGGTTTGTACAGCCAAGCTTGTAAGGTTGGCCTTACTGAGGCTAACGAGGGGGTGAAGGAGCGTATGACCAGGCTCCATCAAGATGCCGCCCTTTTCGCGGACCCTGAAAAGGCCGCTGGCGGCGCGAAGGAGGCGCCCTCGAAGCTCCAGCACGACACGGGCAAGTGCCATGAAGCTATGGAAAATAATGTTGGCACGGAGGTTCTTGCTGCAATGGAGTCGCGGCTGGAGACCGTAATGTGCACTTTTGATGACAAGTTGGCGGAGCAGCTGGCGACGTCCCAGCACAAGTATGACATGATCGTGAACCTTGAAAAGGCCTACGGTGTATCGAAGGAGTTGCTCACGGAGCTCCAGCGTGATCGGCCTCGAGGACTTCAGCTGGATCGAATCGCAGTTGTTCGACATGTTTTCAGAGTTGCGCGACGACCCCACCACGAGGCAGCTCAACGCGTTGAAGGCAGCGCTCTCAGAGAAGGGCGTGCACCACGCCGACGGCCGAGAGTCTGCACCGCATGTGAGATAGGACCGGTGCGCTCTTGTAGGGCTGGGCTTGCCCCACGCAGCGTGTTCTCGTGGGACGGAGCCTGCACCGCGCCGTGGGACGGCATGGCCTGGTAGAGAGTACAGGTTGGCTTGGATATGCCTGTCGGTTCGGCCTCGCCCTCCTGGCCCGTTTTGGCCCCTTGAGTCCGGCTGCGGTGCTGGAGGGTGTTGGCCGAGAACCGTGGCGCACCCATGCTGGCTTGTGCTGTCTAGTCCGATAGAAGTGTCCAGTCCAATCCTCCTTCCCCTCCCCTCCCCTCCCCTCCCCTTCCCTCCTCTCCCTCCCTCCCTCCCTCCCTCCCTAACTCCCTCCCTCCTTCTCCTCCGCCCGGGCGCTGGGCCGACGCCGCGGCGGAGGAGACGAAGGACGTCGGCGGAGGAGCCGCCGCCGCCGCCACCCAATGGGTCGGTCGATGCTTGCTCTGTCCCCAGGCTCTGTGGCCGCCGCGGGCGATCCGGCCCCAGGTGGTGCTCCCAGCTCCTCGCGCCGCTTTCGGATCCCCGTGAGGGCCTCCCTGGCCCGCGCGAGGAATGCCCTGGAGGCCTGGGCCCAGGCAGTGATAACTAATGGGGGGTCGTGCCGCTGGGCTCCGGGCAGCGCTGGCTGGCTGAGCCGGCGCTGGAGCGTGGTGCCGTTGCACCATTGTAAAAAGTCCTGTCGGGGTGAGGATAGATGGGGGCGCAAGCATGATCGCAATACTTCGCAACCGGTACAGTCGGACCTAGGACAGCAGAGCATGCTTCAGGAACATGAGACCCTCCGCTTGCCAACAGGAACATCCCTCGAGGGTACCCTCCCTCAGGGTGCACAAGAACATCCAACAGGCACAAAGAACAGTAGGACACCCTCCCCGAACTGACCTTGATCATTATACTTCGTTCGGACTGTAGCTGGGGAAACCCAAACGCACTGGTACTGCTACTCCCGACTCAAATACACAATCAAAACACACAAACCCGCAAGAAAGGTGGAATTCAGAGCAATCCATTCCAGCACGGGGAGCCCGATGACAGGAGGTATGAAATGGATTTCTGCCACTCTCCGCCCATACATCGCGCGACAACCACACATACTACGTGACAGTCTGGATTTGCTCCGCCAGCTCCGGGGCATCAGGGTCGACGCGAACGACGTGTTTGTCAACTTGATGTGGAAGATTTTTACATGAGCGGGGAGCATCAACAATTGATTACACAGTCCGCCAAAGCAGTGGACCCTGCGCTACGAGGAGCATACACTGTCCTTCTTGGTGCTATCCTTCGGAGCCAGTTGATATCCATAGATGGAGTGACCGATCGACTATGGACCGTAAGATGGGGCACAGGACAAGGCTTGCTATGCTCAGGTGCGATCAGCGACACGGCGTTCCACTTCATGGCGGAGGAAGGTTTCATCACGAATCCAGCAGCACGCCAGAGGTATGGAGTAAACTACTACGGGCGTGTTAAAGATGATATTCTCCTTACCTATACGACCACCCTGCGGGTGATAAGGAAGTTGCGGGGTGGGGGGGTGGGAAGGGGGGTGGCTCATGACGACAACTGTGGTGAATGTGGTGCTGATGGCCGATGATGGTGTGGATGACGTGGCGGATTTGTTTTGTTTTTTCGCTTGGGCGTTTTGTGTCATTCGGTTTGCCGCTGCGCGACGCGGCATTCACCCCACGACGGTCCAGTCGACGATGCGTGGCGGCGGGGGAAACATTTATGTTGGCGAACCACTAGCGACAGACAGGACAACGGCGGGCAACCGACGGGACAATGCGGGCCACCGCTTGACACGCGCCGGCGGGGGAAACATTTATGTTGGCGAACCACTAGCGACAGCAGGATGAATTCCTCTCGCCCGCGCACGCAGCTTCGCCTCGCCCGCGCGCACGACACGAACACGAAACCAAAACCGATTTCCCGGTGGGGGGCTCTCCGTTCCACTTCGATCTCACCCCCCAACCTCCGACGACCACCCTGCGGGTGATAAGGAGGTCGTGGGGGGGGGGGGGAGGGGGGGGGCTCATGACGACAACTGTGGTGAATGTGGTGCTGATGGCCGATGATGGTGTGGATGACGTGGCGGATTTGTTTTGTTCTTTCGCTTGGGCGTTTTGTGTCATTCGGTTTGCCGCTGCGCGACGCGGCACTCACCCCACGACGGTCCAGTCGACGATGCGTGGCGGCGGGGGAAACATTTATGTT